CTGGAAGGCTGTTCCAATTTCTCATTTTTTCAGTAGTAGGAACATTCTGCTCTCTAACATACATTTATTTCTTGCCAGTCCTTATGTCAAAATAAAAGTGCTTAAAGTAGGGAAAAAGTAGTTTTTAAAATGTTCTAGAAATAAGCAAAAAATATCAAATTCAAATTACTACTGTCTAAAGGCCTAAGCATTTTTTCAGTGACAATCTCCACACTCTTTCCATAAAAAGCCCCATATCAGTTATAAATTTCTATTATCAACTTAGAAAAGAAAGACAAGTCTTCAAAATTATGAAAGGCTGGACTCACAGTTGTCATTAATTTTGTTTTTTCTGAACACTTATCTTTGTTCATAACAAAATACTTTATCTCATAAGAGCAATAAACAGGACCATGCAAATCTATACTTGGATAAAACAAATGCAGACAGCTTGAAATAGTTTAGGCAGTCATATTTTACCTAGAACACAATGCTTGACTATGTACTAATAGAGTTTTAACAACTGATTTCTGGGGCTTTCTTGAGAAAAGGTTTAAAAGCCTGTCATTTGACTGATTTGACTTACCAGTCTTTATCTCAGTTGAAATGACCTGAAAACTTAAAAACTGCCAACAAACCTTGTTACATAAGGCTTCATCTATCTTTCTCTTTTTCTTCTCACCAGGTACCCTCTCCAAAAGCCTGTAAGGTTTATTTCAATCAGCTTCTGTTGGTTTGAGTTTTTTTTAATGTCTGAAATTTTTCCTTTGCTTATCACACAGACTGCCAACACAACACAGTGAGGTGTTTGTTTCACAAAGCAGTATTTTTGAAAAAGAAGGTGGTTTTCTGACAGGTATGAAAGGAAAACAAAGACAGTCTTTCACAAGCCTCAGATACAGCAATAGCGGGGTGGCCGGAAATGACTCCATAGTGAGAGGATTAGGAAGGTCTCAATATCTCTAGAGTCCGTCTGAGGCTCAAAGCTCCTCTCCCCCAGACACACACAGAGAGCTTAATCACATCAGCTGGCATCTTACCCTCAGCCAAGCATGAGTTGTTAGAACTGAGTTCAGATATTTCAAACATTCACTGGGTCTCCCTTTGGGGAAGAAGTCACATACCCAAAACAGCATCTCATGTTTTCCATTAAACCACAGCTTTTCATCTTTCCTCACAGCTCTGGAACTTGGAACAGCTCTCTAAGGAGACAGCTGCTCTTTTTCTGCCTCTCACCACTGCTGTCCCAGTAGCTCCTACATACAGCTTTGCAGCGAGGGCAGCTAGTGCCCCAGGGGACTTGACTGTCCTGGCAGACTGCCAGTGTTCACCCAGCACTGTTTCTGCAAAGTCCATTTTAATTTCTCTTAGACAACCTAGGAACAGAAATTTCCACTCAGGAGAGGAATAAATATATGGGATACACCAGTTCTCTTTACCAAATGGAAGTGGTCTTATGGTACCTGTTTGGGCAAGATAAACAAATGCAATTAATTAGCTTCTCTCACACCTGAACTAAACAATTTATCTAAAACACTTGAACAATGCAGGTCAAAGAAAAAGCAATTTTCTTCAGCAAAACCTGCTGTAGCTTTCAGCTTCAGAAACCATTAAAGGAAATGACCATGAGCATTTAAAAACTGTCAGACTTCCTGAATTTATCACTTGCTACCAAGTTCCTCCTACAGTAAACAAATCTTCCAGTCTTGAAGATTATTATCAACCCTGCATCCTGAGCCAATCCTGCAGCTATCAAAGCAACTACAAGCCTTTTTCTCTTACTAAACACATACACATACACACACACACATATCTTCACATACAAACTGTCTCAGTAAAAAGTGTGCTAAAAGTACTTGTTCTAACCAACAAAAAGTACTGCATGGGAAAGAATCAGCCCATCTTCAAAAGCGGATTTGCTGGTAGCCATCAGGTCCAAAATCTTTTTGAAACATGAAACACTATTCAGGCTTTTTTCTGAAAAGACTACAGATAGAAATGTGTTTGGTAGAACAGTTCTAGTTTTCAATTATTTTCCTTTCACATTCAGACCAGAAATATGAAAATTGCCTCCTTCATCCCTTCAGACATCATGCCTGAGCCAGCTGTGATTCAGATATCTCAGACAAGATATAAGAATATCTATTTGCTCAACGTGGAAGTTGTACTTATCAATGACACTGACAGAAAAAGGGAGCACTTTCAGCTAGTGTTAGCTGGCACCTTAGCCTAGTGTTTAATATGAAAGAGAAGATGGCCTTAAGCTTTGTATCTTCTGTTCCATTTGAGTCCTTAAACCCCTACACTCTTTCTTTGCTATTCCAGGCTTGGCTTGGACTAGAAATTCCATTTTGGACCAGAGAAAACACTTCCCATCATGTCTGGTATGTACATTCCTAAAAAGGAGGACTGGTTTCAACTAATTAACATTCTCTAATGGAATAACTGCTTTGCCAGAGGATTCATGATCAGCTCTAATTTGACTTCTAAGTAATTATTAGAGCAACATGACAGCAATTACATTAGCTGTGAATGCAGCATTTCCCAAAAAGAGTGCAATAAATTAAAGACAGATATAGCAAAAAACTGACAAGACCTGGCAGGGCTTGAAAGTTGCTGCTTCATGTTGCATTTCCCAGAAGACACTGACTTGGAAGGAAGGGCTGCTCTGATACCACTCCCCTCTCTGTTTCTTATACAGCTCTCAAGTGGGACAAAACAAAGAATTATTTTCAGACAACAGAAAAAACAACTGTGATTTCAGAAACCTTTTCCTTACGTGTTATTTTAGGCTAAGACACCTTAGGAGTCAATTTTTTCACAGGAAAGCTACAGAGCATCTCTAAAACAGTCAAATTCATAAGCTGACAGGGGATATACAGTTTGGTTGTTAGGCTGAAGACATGTCTTTCCTTCAGATTCTGTATCGTGCAAGCAGTTACCCTCAAATCCAAGTCAATGCCCTGTTTGAGTCAAGAATAAAATATGTGGTAAGACTAAACATTACACTTATTCAGCAAGTCTTTGGGCAAACGCCACACAAGAGGCTTCACAGCCTGTGTTTACTCTTTCCACTGCTGAAAAAGTCCAGGCTCAATCTGTGTCAGAGCCTGAATTAAGAATGATAATTATCACAAAACCAAATGGTTAGGCATTTTCTTAACCCTAAATTTGCAGAATAATGAAACATCAAAATACTTCTTACCCACACAAATTCTGAATGAACCCTAAAAGCAATTTGAAAGACAGATACTGGAAAATTATTTACTGCAATGCCCTGTCACCACTCTCTCCCCACTACCTACTGTATCAAATCAGAACTGAGAAATCTTCATATTAAAGCAACTGATGCAAGAAAAAAAAATCAAGTCTTAAATTCTGCCTATCTAAAAAATACGTAAGTACTTTTCTGAAATCATTCCTTAATTTTTTTTGTAATTATGCCACCTGTAGGGATTTTGGGTTATAAACAAGAATTCCTAATTGCAGACTTTCTAATTGCTGCTTCATATTTTAAAAATTGATTTCTTTGTTCCTTTGTAGAATCAGTAGACTACACAGCGTAGAAATATGGGTTCAAGTAACACATTCTGACAATATGGGGGTTTTTCCTGCAAAACTCAGTGTCTACTCTTTTATGAAACAAGTTTCTATCAAAGCTATCAAAGTTCCAGAGAAATGTGAATGGATTGGGTGATCTAAAATACACATGCATATGAGTACATTTTTCTAGACCAATAATCCAGCGTTCAGAAAGAAATTTGAGAGGCTCAAGTGATATATCAGTTCAATCAGAATTGAGCTATGATGTATCTTCACTGGACAAGGCAAACCAGGGTCAGCAGCTCAGAAGTTGTAAGAAATTTTCAGAGGGTAAGTTAGGTTTGAAATTCAAGGCTACTTAACCTGTGAGAGAACAGTTGCAAATGAAAATTTAGACATTTACACAGTTCTAAAAACATCATGTCTAGTCCCATCACAAGTTAAACTGAAGAGCTATGGGGTCTTGTTACATTGGTGGTCCAAAGATCATTTGTTACTAACAGTTTACTTATACAAGGGTAAAGACAGGAAGAGGGAGATGAGGAATTCCCCAGTCAAATATTGTTAAATGCTTTACAGTTTTACTGAAGGATTTATCTTTTATTTTGCCTTGTAATAAGCAGGATTATTTTGGTCTCTAGCTGGTGGTGACCTTGCATTTTGCACCAAACTTTAGCTGATTAACAACCACAAAAAAACATACATGATAAGTGGATTTAAATGCCAAAGGTGACAAAACTAATAGACTGGGGCCTGTTCCAAAATACAAATTTGCAAGAGATGCAAAAGAATAACTGAATAAATTTATTTGAATCTAGCACAGCAGGGTTCGTGATCAATCCAATTTCATACTTTTTAAAGCTTTCTTCCTACCAAATGTAGCAAACTTTAGCAAGCCCTACAATGCGTCTTCATTCATTTTGAACACAAAAAAACTGGAACCTAAACCACACTATTAATTCACAGAATTATGCCAGAATATAGTCCTAAACTAAATGGAGAGACTTCAAAATACATTTTTTAGTTTAGCTCCAAACAACAGACACAAAAGATATTTTCCCATGGCACTAGCACTCACTCCTTTGATATGCTGATAGCATGCCCCTTCTGTGCAAGTGTTATCTATACACACAAACTAAGGTCTGCATTGAGCAAGCAACTTTGTCAGTATGGACTTTCCAACCATTCAAAATTCCTTGAAATATGGAAGATACTAGCAACCCTGGAAATTGGCCAGGTCAAGCACGGCACACATTTTCAATACCAAAGAAAGCCCTTAAGCTGTTTCCTGAAACAGGATGCATTTGTATACATAGTGATTGTATATTTATTTTAAAACAAAAATGCTTACCAAAAAAAAAAAAAAAAAAAAAAAAAAGCCACCCTTCCATACTTTTTTGAGCAATTCCACGAGTATTTCTTTCAGAGACATAACAACATGATAGCAATAGCTCAAAGAAAAGAAAATTACACACAAATTAGCCAATGCAGAATTTTAATTCTAAGGATAAATTCAAAGAATCACTATTGTCACATTTTCTTAGCAGATGAAAAAAAATGCAACAAAATGGCTACTTCTTTTCCTTGATGGCAACTACAGGCACAAAACACAAAAACACCATTGTAATCATGTAGTAATCAGCAAAAACTCTTCATAACTTCTGCTTCACAATGAAATAACTGGAACCAATCTGGTCTGATAAAACAGCAATCCATCTCACAACCAAAGAACAGTGATTGTCTCTCAGAGAGTTTGTTGAGAAAAACTAAGAATTTCTGGTGCACTACAAATTAGAATATGTCATTTGTATTCAGCTGCAACAAACTGGCATTACTTAGAAAAAGTAATACCATCCTATGTTATAAAAGCTTGGAGAAATGAAAGACTTTTTTTGATACGAGTTTATTTAAAGCCCTCATCTGCTGCCTATAATTAAAATTTCCTGGTCAATTTCTTCTGCTTTCTGTAATGAGGAACTAGTAATGAGAGGAATCAAGGTGCTTTCTAGCTAAAAAGTGTGTAATAAAGTTAGGCAAATTAAAAAAAAAAAGAACTTAATTTAAGCAGTCTTAACTGCTAAAAAAGGCCTACCTGACCATTCTATGACTTGTGGCACCCAACACCATTCAAAAAATGTAAAGCTCTAATAACATAATTTGTGTGCAAACTGTATGTAAACAAGTGTCTCAATGGGCTTGTTTGTGTTCAACAAAAGAAGAATTGAGGTGTTACAGCTCTAATACAAGTTCTTTTTGAGAAGTTCTTAGACTGTGTGGATGATGCAGAAGAGGGGAGATGGCTTTAATCCAAAAGTACTTCTGTATCAAGAAGTTTAGATTGATGTTTCAGCTACCAATAGACAGTATTAAATTCAAAGAATTGGCACCCTTGAGTGACTATCCTTAAAAATGATTTTCCTAAAACTATTCTACCCAGACTAGGAGTTTTGGTTGTTTTATTTTTTAATGTTCCACTCTTACAACACTTTCCGTATTACAGAATTATTCTGTAGCTCCTCTTCTCACCTTCCCTCATGTTTAAAAAAGGAATGCCTATTTACAAACACAAACCATATCATCAAACCTGGGTTTGAAACAATACAACCACAGGTTATGTCTTAATCTGAAAGCATTTTTTGCTTCCTCTACACAAGATTTACTGCCCAGTGAAGAAAGAAAGCTCTTTCTGGCTCTCAGTACTTTGAGCTGATCAAATAATTGAAAAGGTAGTTCTCACTTTTACAGTTGCCACTATCTTAAGCTGCAGTCTGATTTATAATTTTGTCATCTTTATTTCTGTATCACCGTTTATGTATGTTTTAAAAGAAATATGCAAATAGAATACCAGATTATGAAGTTACCTAAACTACTTGCTTTCAAAAGATTCCTTGTGGAAACTAAAGTCCTGATTTTCTAAGTTTCTTCCACACTTTCTCAGAATTGGGTGCTAAATAACGCCAGTTTAGCAGAATACAGTCAATGGCACCCTGTTAGTCTTCAGGACAATCTCCCAAGGTAACAGCATTCAAAAAGATAACTCAATGGGTGCACTGAGAGTCACCATTTGTCCTGCATCTACTACTGTCTTAGCAAACAAATGGTTAATTTAAAGGGTCTTGTTGCTGAAAGACTATTTGAAGTGCTTCACAGAAATATTTAAGTGGTTAGACTTACGTCACCACACAAAGCCCTAAGATTTGATATTGACCCAACTCCTTTGAAACCTTATGAATAACAGGGAGCTCCTGTGAAGACCAAGCACAGTTTTGACAGGTCTTCCAAGAAGTTTACATTTGTTTCACAATACTTTTTCAAGCATTTGAACAAAAATAGACTAACGTGAATTTTCCCCTGTTAGTTTACTATTTTTTTCACTAAGTTGACAGTCTGCCTTAACATGCAGACTAAGCAGCACTGGGGAGCCAAATTAGTTTCTTGTACTGCTGGTGGTCCAGAACTGCAGAAACAGTCAGTTAGCACAACATACCAATAATTATTACCATACATCAGGTATCAAGTAGTGTGCTGAGTGAAGCTATATATATGCATGTATATGTTTACTATTAAAACTTTTAAATTACATGTTGCGGTACATCTGCACCCAGTATTCAGGTCAGGAGAACCTTTAACGTCATTTCAACATGACATGGAAAAGAAACTGCAGAATGAAGTCACTCTTATCAATCCTCTTCAGAGCTAGATTCATCTTCCTGGTCAGAGAGCTCAGCAACAGGAAAGCGCAGGATAGCTGCCACCCCTGTCAGCTGGCCCAGCTGCTCTCCAGACACATGGAGGCTGGAGAAAATGCGTACTGTGCCCATGTTCTCCCGAACGCTATCTACCAATTTAACGTATCGGGCACGTGTGGCCACATCCTGGTGCCGAAAAAGCTCATCGCTGATCAGCAGGGTATCAATGGCCATGGCTTCGTTGGCCTTCTCCACGTGTTTCAGGCCATAAAAAGCCCGGTCAGGTTCATGCTGCAGCATTTTATAGAAGTCATCTAAGGCTTTGACCTCACCAGCTGCCTTAGTGTCAGAAAGACGGCTAGTTACAGCTGGGTCGCAGAGTGCTTCCTTCAGCGCGTATTTATGTCCTGAGGAAGAGTGGACCTAGAAAGAAAACAAAGTCAAAGGTTTGGTGTTTTCGAAGAAAAAGGACCATCTTCTTGATTAACCAGTCACAAACACCCTCTATGATACGTATTAATCTTGATAATTATTTGGGGAACTTATCTCCTTCTTGAAACACAGATTTTTTTCCGAGTCTATCCTGCATCCTAAAGCCTATATCAAATCCCTTAAACTGCCTTTCAAGCAGCACAAGAAAACTGCCTCTCTTCTTCAAAGCCTGGATAAAATACACGAGCTCCACAGCTCCCAAGGTAAGGCTACTTGAAACTACCAAGAAACTAAACTTTAAGCCTAAGCCTCTTTTTTAAAGCATTCAAGAAAAGGAAGGATCCTCAACACTGCAGGTGTATAGTGTAAAAGCATCAACTCTGTGCAATTATTATGGCTGCAAAGCTGTTAAGTACATTAAAACTTCTCTCTGTTATCACTTTGCTACACGTGGAAAAGGAAGTTCTTGGTGCAATGGGTCTCTCAAGTACTGGGACCATTAAGCACTGGGACTCACTTCACTATCCCTGCCCCCAGATCACCCCAGGCCTACTCCAACCTAAAAATAATAGAAGTATCCTAATGAAAACATATTTTAGGCTTTGAATATGACTATTTCAGTATAAGGCTAAATCTGCACCCACTCAACCAGAGATGACTAAGAAACAAGGAAAAAAAAAGCACAGCCTTTAACTGTGCAGGTACAAAACTAACAACGAAATTCTAGCTAATTTTGGTAATCAAAATTAACTAACCTATACCACATCCAGGTACTTTTAAAAAAACATCTTTGGAAAATTGTTATTAAACATGCGTGCTATACAGTGTGACAAAGTAACAGTGCAAAGTATTTTCCAACTTGCACTTCACACTTAATTGAAGAGCAAGTATGCCTTTAGAGGGAGTTTGAAACTTCCCTACTCCACATTAAGGTGTACTAGGTGGGAACCATCTATATATCTATATATTATCTATACAGTATATATATACTGTCTGTATATATATGTGTATATATATATACTGTGTAATATATATATACTGTGTATATATATTTATATATACACAGTATATATATACACACACGGCATATATATAGTATTCTATCTATATAGTATATACATCTATATACTATACTAAACTTCTTTTGGGAGGCATGATAATAATTTTCTCACGATGCTCAGTCAGAATTTTTTTTTAATGGTTTATTTCCCATGCAACTACCTTTTACTATCACACACAACTCTCAAGCCTCTTTTTACCCACTCTGGAAACTGCTTAGATCCTTACCTGTAGGAACTTGGACCTGTTCTCCAGCAGAAGTTTGTTGTCGGTCTTGACTGCCTGCTGGAACATGTAGTCACAAAACTGCTCCCGCACGAAGCCTGGGCTAGCCACCAGCACACACTTCACCACCTCAAAGTTGATATGCCTCTGGATGGCTTGCACCACCTGCTCGTAAAACCTCTCCAGCGCCCGGTCGTGCTGACTGCAGTTCCCTTTCCGCTTGCGGGGGATGTTCACCTCCACCTTGGCGCGGGTAAGCGTCATGCTCGGGGTGACCAGGCAGACGTGAGCCAGCCCCTCCTGCATGACCACGGCCGCCACATCGGCGCTCCAGGCCGGGTCGCAGGCCTGCTCGATGCGCTCCAGCACCACGCTGTCCCACTGCTTCTTCGCCAGCGTGAACTGGCGGTTGGGCTCCAGCTCGATGGTGTGGTAGGCGCCCATCTTCACGTACTCGTTCTCTTGGATGTTCGTGCCCTTAACGCGCAGCTGGCAGGCCTGCGAGTCGAAGTCGATGGTCTCCACGCAGAGGGTGAGCGTGGTGCGGATGCGGTTGCTGCCCACGCTGCCCGTGGACGACTCGGTCTGCACCTTGCGGATGGTGGAGGCGCGCAGGCTGTCACCCACCTGCAGCAGGTTGTAGGTGTGCCACATGTCCTCAGGCTCCTCGGGGATCAGCGTCACCTGCCCCGCGTTATCCTTCTCCAGGTCCTTCCTCACCAGCTTCATCCTGGCGGCTCCTCGCGTCCCCCGCCCTGTGCCGCGGCGGCAGGCCTGCCCCGGGAGGGAAGGCTGCGGGCTGGAGCCGGCGGGACCGTACCCTGCCGGACGGACTGACGGACACACGAGCGGCCTTCCCGCAGCCCCCGCCACCCGCGCTCCTCCGCGCGCACGCGCAGGATCCCCGGCCGCCCCACGGCGCACGCGCAGTGTCCCCGCTCCCTCCTGAGGCGCCGCCGGGGAGCGCCCCGCCCCGCCCCTCTCGGTCACCGCAGGCAGGGCGCATGCGCGGGGCGCCGCGCGCGGGTAAGCTGGCGGCGCGTCCCGAGGCTCCATCCTGCGGAAGGAAAAACGCCGGGGCGGTGTGAGGGCGGGGGACTGGGAAGCAGCCGTGCTGCAGCCGGGTGCTGCGAGCACTGGAAGTCGGCTACTGCCTCGCCGGGAGGGGGGCGCCCCCGCGTTCGTCATTCCCCTCCAGCGCTTCACAGCGGCGGTCCAAACTCCTGAAGCCTCCCAACATCGTGCCACACGCTTCAAAGCACGAGAGGAAAAAGCCAAACCAAAACCGAACGGCCAAAGCCAAGCAGCTGTGGAAACTTACAGGCACGGATGGCAGAAGAGGCGAGAGGTACAGCCCCGTGGTGGAGCGGGCACCGAGGAGCCGGGGGAGCGCCGTGCAGCCCCGCAGCCGCCGCCGGCCTGAGGCGGGGCGTGGCCGCCACCGTGCACATGAAAACCGGGCACCGGCGGCATCGGAGCCTGACCTCTTACTTGGACCCTGCTCTTAAGCTGAATCCCGGTTTAAAAGGTTTTGGTTAAATTTGCAAGTTACACTTCAGCCAGTACTGAACCTTGACCGGCTTCCTTCCAGTTCTGACACGCTAGGGAGGCAGATAAGCACGTTTCAAAGGAAGCGGGATGTTCATATAGAGAAATAAGATGCCTTGCTAAAAGTTCAATGATACTGCAAAGAAAATGGACCTGTACCATCACTACACAGCTGAATTTGCAGCCTAAACGAATATAGCAAGCCAGAAATAATGAAAAATTGTATCACTGTCCAAGAAGGGAGGAATATTGGAGAAGAAGAGAAGATACATGAGACCTCACAGCAACCTTCCAGTATTTGCCAGGGAAAAGGGAAGCTGGAGAGGGATTCTTCATCAGGAACTGTAGTGACAGGACAATAAGTAATGGGTACAAACTGAAAGAGGGGAAATTTAAGTTACATAACAGGAAGAAATTTTTCTTTGAAGGTGGTTACACACTAGAATAGTACCTAACCCCTGGTTGCCCAGGGAGGCCGTGGTTTCTCCAACCCTGGTACTCATTGGACACGGCCTTGACAAAGCTGGGAATTGTCCTGCCCATGGCAGGGTGGGTCTACATGATCTTTAGTGTGCATTTCAACCCCTTAAAAATCTATAATTCTATGATTCTGAGTTCCGTAGCTTATTTTTGAAACCGCATAAAAACTCCATTTAAGAATGAATGTTGCAAATTTAGAACAAGGGAAAGAATGAAGAATAGCAAAAAATGTTTGCAGGAGAAATGATTAAATAAAAATAAGTTGAGAAGGTAGGCACACTAATGTGCCATGTTGTGTGTGGCAGGGCAATTGCAACAGATAAGTTTGGAATAATTACACACACAGGAAAGCATGAGGGCATCTTACAAATGAGAAGGTGGTCAGAAGGCAGTTTCTGGTTTCTATTAGCTATTTTTTTAAATAAAAAAACAGCTTAACACAGGAAAGCATGAGGGCATCTTACAAATGAGAAGGTGGTCAGAAGGAAGTTTCTATTAGCTATTTTTTTTTAATAAAAAAACAACTTACTGTGATTATGGAATTTGCTGACTTGGAAAGGCTTTGGAGTCAAGAATTTGATGAGATACAAGGCTACTGTGAGCAAAAATAATCCCATATCTCTCATTATGGTGTACCTATAAATTTCTCTGAAGTTTCTAGTTCTAGTCAGTTGTGACAGGACAGTGAACTCAGATCTGGCCCAGTAATGTGCGTTCCTTTTCCCTGAGCTTGATACTGGTGTAAAAACAACTTTATCAGATATTACATAATAGGATTTATTTATCAGACCTCAGACTCTCTTCCTGTGAGTACACATGCTTAATTCTGTTAGCATGAATAGTTTCACAGAATCAAGCAGGACCACCCAAGGGAATATAACATAAGCACATGTGTAGGTAACTGCTTGATTAACTTGCACATAATAATAATAATTTTGCATTAACATTTTCATTCAAAAACAGAGGCAGAGAACTTCTGCATTCAGCTTTTCTTTAGGAGAGAGTGTGCATTCTACTTTACTTTCAGAGCTCCTTTCACTTGTTTATATAAATGCTGAATGGTGAATTTATGGCAAATTTTCTTCTTTACGTTCTTTGCAACTATAAAATTCCAAAGGTTGACCTCATGCTATTCTTTCAAGAAAAAATAGCTGTGGTGCATATTTGACTTTCACATTAAAATGTATTTTACTTTTTATTCTTTTACAGCTGTGTATTTACAAACTTTTCTGTGCTTATTCATTCCAGTCAAGCTTTTACAAGCAGCCTCATATCCCTGGAGATGCAATATATTCTAGATAAAGGTTGCAAGTTGGCATCCAGTAGAAAATAAACATTCCATTCAGGAAAATAGGTGATTGCTACATTAAAAAACGGCACAATAATGCACATGCATGCAGACACACACCTCACCTCACACACCCCAAAAGCAAAAACTCACAACAAACAAACAAAACCACAACCAGTAGAAAATAAACATTCCATTCAGGAAAATAGGTGATTGCTACATTAAAAAACGGCACAATAATGCACATGCATGCAGACACACACCTCACCTCACACACCCCAAAAGCAAAAACAACAAACAAACAAAACCACAGCCACAGAAGAAAGACCAACTTTGAAACAGTTGCCACTCAAAATATTCAATTGACTGTTGTAGAAAGAGACGATATGGGTCGTTTCTCAAACAGCAAGGTATAAGATTTATACATTTGTGAACAATGATCCACAAATGGTTAGTGGCAAATGTAAACTTCAATGGATTTACCCACTATCAGCAGGACCACTGTCAATTTACAAAGGAAAATACTTACTGGAGATGATGCTTTGCCTACTCTGGTAAAAAAGCAAATATAGGATATCATTTGTTTGAGTATGTCAAAGTATGAGTAGTAGAAGAAAAACATCTCCAAAAGATTAGAAACCATAGAAGTTTCTAAGTTCATATTTTGGTAATGACAGGAAGAGAGATTAATTTGATCATGGTAGAGCCAAAACAAGTGGGTACTTTTAACTCTTCCTACAGTTTTAATATGAGAGTTCAAAATTCCATAGCCTGTCCCTGCCTTGGTAAAAGATTGAAACTATGTATAGAACCTAAGAGTTCTTGTAATAAATCACTCTGTAAATACAGTTTTATTATTATTAATAATTGCAGAAATTTGACATCCATTTTTGGACCTTTTTAAGTACAATGCAAGATAAAAGGAAAATGGTGATAGCATATACCCATAGGGATTTAAGAACCATGCTGGTTATCTAAGGTTATTATTCGGAAAATGTTTGCGACACACTTCCCTATATCTTCAATTCTTGGTCAACTGCTTTATGAAGATGGGTTATGTACAAATTTGTAGGTTATGTACAAATTTGTACCTCTTCTTGTAGACAAGAAGAGGTAATTTTCATAGGAAATCCCATCTCTTCCATATTATAGCCACTTTAGCTAGATTTTATGCAAACATGCTTTACATTCTGAATAAGAAAAACTAATGGGAAAGAATCTCTGATGTAGGGGAAAGTCTGCTAAGAAATATTGGACATTATTGTTGCAAGAGTAGAGGAAGATAAAAGAGGTAGATGGAGAGGGAAACTTGGGAAAACATCTCTTTTCATGCTTTGCCTTTGTCCTGTGGCTGTCTTGCCTCTACAGACTCTGAACAAAGACCACTTCATTTTCTGCATACATTTCTGTCTTTATCTATTTACCTTTATCTTTTCTATCTGTTGTATCTTTATCTGTTGTAAAGATGAGTACAGCAAGACCATCATTGTCCTGTGGCTGTCTTGCCTCTACAGACTCTGAACAAAGACCACTTCATTTTCTGCATACATTTCTGTCTTTATCTATTTACCTTTATCTTTTCTGTTGCAAAGATGAGTACAGCAAGACCATCCTCAATAAAGAGAGAAGTCCAGGAGGGAACAGGCTTTGCATAACACTGTTAAGTGAAGCTTTTAAAAGTAATGGAAACCCTTTAAACTGACTTCTTCATTCCTTAGCTGTTTAAATGTAGGGCTGGAGAAAACTTCAGCAGATCCCTAGTCAAATCATGTACATAGAGGCCAGCTGAAGTAAACTCAGCCATCCCTTATAGCTGTTCATCCAACTTCATCAAAGTCCTGGTGAAAGAGAAAGGAGAGGGCTTTTTTTGGTAGCCTAGCAATTCTTTACCTGAAGAGTACGAAAATTCTTCTGACTATTTCCTAATATTTTAGTCAGTTATGTTGATTTTCTTTTGTCCTTTGTTGGCTTTGGAGAACCAAGTATTAATCAATACCTTTGGAAACCAACATACGAGATGTGGAAAGTAATGACTGAGTGCTCTCACAAAACAAAGAACATTGACATCTGGAGTAATATCCTCAGCAATAATATTTGGATAAAAAGATATATCTGAAATGTTCAACATTTTGCCCTTAGGTTTTTTCCTACTAGATAGACAAGCCTAACTAATTCAGTCTTTTGTTGTCATTTTACTCAGCCTTTATCAGGCTTCTCAATTCACTACAGTCTGTTTGCATGTCAGACTTGTTGTGGTCAGGATTCTCAGAGGTCTCATCAAAACAAGCTGAATTAAAAAAGAACAAAAATCTATATAAATACAAATGTGCATAACATCTCTATGTGCCTCCTTTACTCTAGAATCTTTTTGTCTGCTAGGACGTGCCAGATTATTTGCTACTTTTTTTCTTTAAAGGAAGAACAGAGTGTAATTTATTTTTAATTATTTTTAATGTCACTATATTTCTCTTTGTAAAGAAAACCCCTTGTCCACATTTTTATGATATTTTGACTTGTTTGTGTAGGACTACTTCCCTTATTTATCAGAGACAATTTGAATCCTTTACCTGGTATCTGTAATGCCTCCTCTTATAAGTCTATTCTGTTTCCCAGCAATCTTTTAAAAATGAAACTCTTACCAAAAAAGTAATCACCTGGAAATCTGAATGAGACTTGAAATGTTTTCCTATCTGACAGTAAACCTTTTTTTCATTACTGATGAATTCATTGTCTGTCAGCATTACCAGTGTGAAGGGAAGTTGTGGCACACTAAATTGTTGCTGTTTTACAAAGTGTCCTTCTTGGACAAAACCATGTTTTGGAGTATGCCACTGTAATAATAATGAAGACAGTTAAGAACAACAACTAAATATGGCACGCCAAATACTATATTCATATTTTCACATTTCCCAGTATCTGTTCTGTCTTGCACAATGAGCACAGAGGGAAGAGGGGAAAACTATAGTTTTGCCTTTTCCCCACTTGCTGCTGCCTGCATCTGGACAATTCTTATGAAATCGATTCCTTCCCCTGTTTCAGGGGGGATCTACTTCAGGTTCACTGTGTGCTACTTGCCTGTGCAAGAGCTGCTGTGGAGTTCAATGTCCAAGTTTCCAAGCGCATGAATCCCAGCATTGCCTTAGCTTCTTTCCCACTTCTAGGAATCCTCTGATTTCAGATCCAAAATGTGACTACAGACTGACTAGCTAGGGACATTGTTACTTGCTTCATTCTTTTTGTAGGAAAGCAAATAAGTCACTATCAATGAGCCCCTAAAAGGAAATATTACATATTCTATCTCCGGATGAACTCATCTTTCTGAAGTGAGTGAGTGCTTCCTTACTTCCCTTTTACCAGTCAGAAGTCTGAAAGCCAACAGAGGAAACCAAAAAAATCTACACTAATTTTAAAAAAAAGCCTCCAAAACCAACCAAAACCCAAACCAACAAATCAAATACATTTGTTTCTTCCAAGCCAGATTCAATTACAGTATGCCTTCTCAGCCATTCATCCTCATCTAGCAACCACCCCTTGCCCTCAGACTCTAAAATTGGTTTCGGGATTAAAGTTCCCAGAGAGACGCAAACCGAGGAGGTTGCTCACCGCCTGCGGCTGGAGGGCAGCTCTGGGAAGGGCACTCCCGGAGCAGGGATCTGTGCGGGAGGGCGCCGTCCCTTGGGTGCCAGACCCTACCAGCTTCACCCTCTTCCCGCCGGGAGCGGGGCTGCCTTAGGGACCCCAGTCTTCAAAGCAAGGCAGAAACAAGGCTTTACTCACCTGTCAGCATCCAGTAGGAGGCAGCCATGCCTGGGCTCCTGCGAGCCGGGGTCCGGGAGCCCGGGCGGAGGGCAGGGGTGGCGGGAGCGGTCCTGCCGCCGGCGCGCCCGGCTGAGCTGCGCTGCCGGTGGAGCTCAGCGCTCTGCGCCGCCCGTCCGCCTCGCAGCCGGGTTAGGCATTTCCTGTTTGTTATCCAGTCTTTACGTTGTTTCTCCGCGTTTAAGAAGAGTTTAGCTTCCTCCCACCGCACACAGTTTACCCCCCACCCACCCGCTAAAGGTCTCTGAGTTTTGGAAACCTCCCCGTTGAATTAGCCCAGCGTTAAGATGTACAAATAAAGCCAAATCTCCCCCACTAAACACTCTCGGAGAGCGCAGCAGACCTTAAAGGGACATCTCCCCGTTCATAATTAATTAGTGTCTGCCGCCGGCCAGCCCCTGTCCCAGTAGGGCAGGAGTGAGCTGGGTGTGCTACACAGCCACCTCTTTCGCCTTAAGAACAGAACAAACGCGTCGTTGAGGTAGGGGGGGTGTGTTTGACTGCTCGAGTTTAATTTCTCTGACATCACCCCTTAAAAACGCACCCTTACGGCCGGTCATTTGCCCGCAAGAGGAAGCCAGCCACCCCCTCCCCATTCTCGGCAGCTCTGCAGACACAGTAACTCTTCAGACAGTGGGCGATTCTCTCGAGTCTTTGCGTCCTCCTGTGCTTTGCTGCATAAATACCAGACAGCTGCCTTTGCCCTCCTCTATCGAACGTTTGCATGGCATGCCTTCCCACTCTCCCTGCCCCCAAAACGACTTCACTAGTAAATAAATGAATAAATAGCAAAGGTAATCATCAGCCAGCTTCAGGCCCTTGAGCGGAGATTTTCAGGGTTTGTTGCACACTCAGGAAAGCAGTAGTTTTGCAGGACTTTTTGAGTTTATCAGACTGATGCTCAAGTGGAGTAGCACCCCTTCAGCAGTGTATGAGATCCCACACTGGACCTGGTGAAAAATAATTTTATTGTTTATAAAACAAGGGAATCATAGTGTCTCAAGAAAGAAAAAGAAAAGCCTAAGTATAAGGATTTGGAAATTTTGGTGCTTCTGTTTGGTAAGTGGAAGTGAGTGGAATTTTGGCAAGTTCCTTTGAGACTAATAAACTGCAGCTTTTAATAAGCACTGTAATAGCTTATTGCATCTTCCAACTTCTGTCTTCATTTCGTGAGAACACTTAGGGTGCACCTTGTAGATCTGTTGAAATTTTAAACTGCTCAATTTTAAAGCTGGTTTTAAAAGCAAAGATACTCAGCGGGACTACTCAAAGTTGATGAAATTAAATACATGTGTAACTTCTGCTGAATGAGAATTTTAGCATTTTAGCTTGGTTGGTGCCAGTTTAAAAGACAAGACACATTTTTTCCAGTCAAAGGTTTTATGCATAAGATTAAAGGAAATGGAAATGGCATCCAAACTAAAAGAAGACTGAGTTTATGGAAAAACTGTCATTTCATTTTTGCCAGCCAGTTTTGTTACTACTACTGTTATTCCAAAACAGAGTTCGTAACCCAGCATGCTAGAGCCAACAGCACACAGAGTTGATGTTGTGGTTTATTACAGTTGCAAGTCTGGGTGCTGGGTCATAATCCACAGAAGTCAGCACCCTCTGGGTTATAAGCTGGGGTTTTTTTATACCCTTTTTAGTGATATATTCCACCTACCAAATACAGATGGACTGCTGTATTTTCTTTAAAAATATCTAAGCCAAACAACCAGACCAAAGAACCAAACCTTTGTATTCCCTGTGTCACTATACTACAGCTAAATGAAGGAATTGAGCTTGCCTTCAAATCATAGTGAAAGATTATTTATTTATTTATTAATTTGTTTATTCTGATTACATCAGAGGAAGAAGCAGGGAAACTAAGGACTTTCTCTTGGACTGAAATAAATTCAAGCCTATATGAAATTTATGAAGCATTTGGTGAATATGTGGAGACTGTATATCATGTTGGAGAATAGCACTTCTTGAGAATAAAAAGAAACATTTTTGATGAAGAATTATTCTTAATATTTACCAAATTATTCTTAATATTATGATTAATTAATTTGTTTTTGAGGTGGTGTCCTATATGTCTTGCATAGGCAATGCCAAAAGGAAAATATTAGAGAAGATGAATTGCTGGACTGAACTAGCATTTCTTATTTATTTGAACACATTCAAGAAAGTAAAACGCACTACAGACTTACGGACACTTATCTGTTTTGGAGTGTCAAACTAGAAACAGCAGCAAGCCTTCCTTTTCACAGTTCATGTTACTGTTTGTGCAGTAGTTCAAGCAATGTTAATAAGATGTTGCTAAAATCTCGAAGTTCAAAGTTTCATACCTTAGTAGTAAGGAGCAAATGTATTTTAAGCAGGAATTTCTAGATGAAGCTTATTGAGGCCCAGAAGTAGATAAGATACTAGGTAATTTTAATGTGAGAAAAACAAGTATTATTAGTTTCGGTGGATTGTAATAGTATACAAAAGCATTAGCCATAGTTATGGATAAAAGAAAAAGGTCAATTTACTTTAAAGAATATAGTTGGCTTGCATAATTTTTGTCTTTCTGAAGAATGTCACCAAATGCTGAGGAAGGATTTTTTTCTTAGTGCTATAAATTAAACATAATTTGTAACTTTGAACTGTGCCTCCTAACTCAGTTTCAGCAACTTGTTTTAGAATATGAGATATAGAATAAGTACACCAGTAGTTCCATAGAATCTGATGAAGTATTTGTGATTAAAGATTAGTTTAAAGACTTGGAAAAACTAGACTTTGAAAAGGCAGCAAAAATTTAAAATATCAGAAAGACACAATTCTTCTCCCCTCTAGGAGGTGTTATTCCTAAAAAAAAAAACCTCAACCAGTGGAAATGCTTTTTGTCCCAAAGGTCAGGGCTGAAGAAAGAGGAACCAAAGTTTTTAAAGTACTTTCAAAGGCAGGCAGTCTTACATAGTGGGACTGTAATTTACATAGAACTCATTTGCCATGGAATTTTTGCTTTCTCTCTTAAAGAAGGTATGAGCAATTTAAAATGCATAAATTTCAGTTTTACTTGTTGGGTCAGAAGGATCTCTAATCTGTAACACAGGAGAGGAATGCATAATACAAGATTGACTTCAAATAGCCAGAAGCATGTCTAATTTTCTTCTATTAAAGGTATAGTATGACAGCATTGATATTGTAAGAAAGATGTTACATGATTCTGCAGTGTTCACTGTTGTTATTACACTTCACTATGCACTGCATGGAAAACACTACAGTATGTGTTCATATAGCTTCTAAGTGAATATTTATCCTTGAGATAACATATTATAATCTTGGATAGTTTACATTGCACTCTGGATTAGTAGTAATTTACATTTATGTTTTTTTCTTACACTTGCTTATTCACAGTCTCCAACATGTCTTTCACCTTGATGACTTTGTTGTTTATTTTCATAATCTCCATTTTTTCCTATCTGATTCTAGGACCATACTAGAATTCACTTGGCATAACTTGTGGGTCTGTAGTCTGATTTTTATTATGTCTGAAATACTCAAGGGCTTCTTCTTCAAGTACCAGAACTAAGACCTTGCAGGATTTGGTATGGTTCCAGAAGTACTCTATGCATAAATCTTTTCATGTTTTACAGCTCGGCTTTTAACTGATACTTGATATTCTTGGAGAATGCCCATGCTTCAACTCCATCTGTATTAGCCAGTGGTACAAATGTGCCAAAAATCCTTTTTGCTATACAATAGGATCTTTATAAAATTTTTGTTTTGCAGATTGTGTTAGTTTAAATAATGTTGGTAGGAAATGTTATGGAAAATACCCTTTGTGTTCTGTGTTAAATCTATTCCCTACAATATCTTTTATTTCTTCTTGTTCTTTTTTGGATTGTATATCAAATGTCATAGCGTAATTGTGAACCAACTTAATATACAGCCTGTGTTCTTACTGAAATTTTTGATTTTCCTCCTTAACAGTTCTCATGTATCTCACATCTTTGGCTGTGCTTCTTTTTTTTATGCATTTTCTGTGCAAGTTTTTAAATATTCATTCTGAATTTGTAGAAATCAAAATTAGGTGTGCCACAAAAATACAGGAAGACCAGAAAGAAATGAGTTTGTACGGCATCATTTACTGCTACACAATCTCTTTAATTTTTGATTGTTGCTTTACAATAATGTAGAAGGATTTTAGTATTAAAACAGACTTTAAGATCGTTGTAGATTACATGCCTATGCTTTCAATAATTCCTGAGGCTATTTCTATTTCCTTTGGGTCAGTTTCTTACTAATTTAGTCCTGATTTTTTCCTGCAAGAGGGAGATTTTTTGCTTGCTTATTTACTTACTTATGTACCTGTTTGTAAGTTATCTTTGGGCTCTATAGTACACTACCAAACTTTAACATGAATATATAGTTCTTCAAACTATACACTACAGAACACAGTCTATTCCACGTGAATGAGGTACTGACTTCTCTGGCCTGTCAAATTTTTTTTTTGTCTTGGAGCACTGGAGTCACTGCAGCTATGGCATTGAGTCTGAGGGGAATTGAACTGGTAATTTCAGGTGTGGCGGGTTGAAAACCAGAAATTAATATTGTGTTGCACAAAACTAAGGACCTAGAAATTGCAATGGGTTTATAGGATTTTTCAATAAAGGTAGGTATAATAATTCAGACAGTGTTGTTCCATCAGTGCATTAATTCTACTGCAGTATACAAAGAATATTTGCAATGAGGCCAGAATTTAGGTGTAGAGGGTTAATTATTTTCATTAATGCCTTGGGCTTTCTGAAGTTCTACACACATATTTCTTTCTCTTTTTATTAATGCTTCTTAACAATTAAGTGTTTTGTTTTGTTTTGTTTTTAATGTGCTGCTTGTGGTATGTTGTACAACCAATATTACTTATTGTTCAGATAGATTTCATTTATGAAGCTGTATAAAAGAATAACTTACTGAGCGCATGCTGTGAATGAAGGCTAATTGATGTCACTAATTTCTCAAAATAATTACATAGTCTGCAGAATCTTACATTGTATTGCATTGCACTGTATTCATTACCTTCACAGCTGGTCTGCATAATATAATTACTTATTACTGTTTGGTTACAGAAAAAAGGTAGCTTTGATTATAATAACTCTGTGAAAACTAATTATATTAATTTTTTTCTTTCCTAATAGATAGAAACATTATCTCCCTCCTTTTTCCTTGATGCACACATTCTTCTTCCATGTCTATTGTATTGCTTTTAATGCAAAAGCAATATTTAAATATAGATCACTGCCCAAGCTTTTCTTTAATTTTCTTAATCACAAAGAAAAAAATCTTGCTTTTCTTTGAAGGAACACAAACATAGTCAAGATGACAGCCTGTGTTTTATGGCCTATATTAAAATAGCAAAATAAAACAAGAAAAATCAACCAACAAACCAAAGCGCTCCAAAAACCAACAAACAAAACAAACACACAAAAAACTCATAAGAAAACCCAGCAC